AAAAATAATATTTTTAAAATGGGGATTGATTCATTTATGAAAAGGATTTGTGGGATGTGATTGTTTGCAATAGCAAAGCTGGGTGTGTATGATAGATGACATTCCAGTTGTGGTTTTTCTTTGTCTTAATCCTTTCTCTAGCTTTCTTCTTGAAAATTTAGAGTCTGTATCAAAAAGTCAGCAGCATTTATTTTCAGCAGCTGAAAACCTAGACATCGTTAAGATATGTCCATTCCACCACTTAGTTTGGTGGAAAACCTAATTTTCTGTCACAACTCTTTTCCATTAAAATAAGAACTTCTTGAACTATCATTTGATATCTGGAACTTTCTTGGACAAACTAATAAACAGGTCAATTTACTTCAACCCAAGCAATTCCATGAAGCAAGAAGGTCTCCTTTCTTGGCAATTTGTGTTTCTTGTTTGGATACTCAGCTTTCTAATAAAATATATATTCTAGTTAAACTCCTTCCGCTGGTTGAGTTATCTTTGTGTTCCTTCACTCATACACATACATACATACACACACATATATTTTCTGGTAATTAATAAGGGGTAAGGTTACACTACAACTTTTCAATTAGCTGAAAAATCAATAACCAATCACCTTTTTTTCATTAAACCTGTAGGAACTTAATATCTTGAAAGCCCTGTCTCTGTGTCAGATTTCATTAATATTCACCAACTGATTTAAAAGTTATCCAGAGGAGACAGATGAGCAGACCGGATCATCACAGGGCTGCATTTCTTTCAGGAACAGGGCTAAGAGGACATACTCATCTGAGGTGACATACTTGGAAACCCCTGAAAAAATAGCAGTAAATTGTCATTTTCCAGGATGGGAATTCAGTGGAAAGTTATGACAAAAAGTAAGACCTCATGATGCATATGTAAGGCCCCTAAGCAAAACATTATCTTCATTTCACAGAAGATGGTTAAGTCAGTCTAAATACCAGTATAAACCTATATAGTTTATTTAATGTGACATTTTGAGGTGCTATTTTTACATCTTCTTTTGATGTGATGAAGTTCACAGTTCATTATAATATGAACAGTTAGAGACTCAGATTCAGACTGAAACATCAGAAAGGTTAGTAATCTTTTTTCTTGCTAAGCAGAGTAAAATGAAGAGAGCGCACCTGCGTTTGTGGATTCCTCTACCTCATACCAACCTCATACCATAGCTTCTATCAGACTTTTGGGGGGGGACCTGCCAGAGTTACTGCCATTACTTGCCTGTCTCTCCATTCCCGGAGTGGAAGATCATTCACATCTAAAAGTATACATTTCCGTTGTATGCACTGTTCCTTATAGCCCTTGCTGCTTCTCCGTGTTCCTCAGTGTTCCTCAGTCCTCAGTTCCTCAGTATTCGTCTTCTACCATCTGATGAAAAGGGATATCCTTTGGTAGAATAGTAGAGCTAGACAGTGCAGCTTTAGTCTGAATTTTGCTTCTTTCTGTCTTTGTTTGACACAGTCACCTTTTTAATATATTTTCTTTTTCTCTATTTTCCCCCTTTACACAGTACTAATAAGCTGATTTGTGTGCTGATGTCTGTTCTGTATAGACTATTCTGATGTCTATACTGGTCAACTAAGAAAGCAACATTTATAATAATTACACAGAGCTCTTTGTTTTAAGACCTTAGAGTTGATTTTGGCTGAGCTCCATATGGTTATTGATTGATGCTCATGGTGTCTTTCATATATTATTTTGTCTCCTCCCCTTTTCTTTCCCTTACTTTGCAGGCAGGAAATGCTACCTGATTTTAAAGGACTAAGAACTATGTCTTCTAGGTCCTATTTGTGTCTTTATCACATTCTCACAACATAGCTTCTCTGTGACCTGATTTCTTGACTCATAAAACACCTGCCTTAGATGTTAGGAGGAAGCAAGGGAGTATCTTATTCCTTTGCAGTCTGTATCAAAAAGTCAGTGTCTTCCTTTTTAACATCTTCTTACACTATATGAGAAGAGCTATCACAGGCCAGAGCAGTGTTTCTGTGGTCTTGCATCTGAAGGAGTGCAGTGATGGATCCATAGGGAGGGATTACAACAAGCAGGACAGTGCCCAACTTCTGACACTTGGTGCTTTAGAGATTTCCTGAGCTAGTGGTTGCACCTAGCCCATGCGTTTACTGTCTGCTGATGGGCTGCCCTCATTATTTATTGTATAGGGGAGGTTGTATTGGGGTTGTGTCATACTGGGGGCTTCTAGAACAAATGTTTCTTAAGCTATGAAGTCACTGTTTTAATAGTAATAATGTGTATGAGCTCTGCTTGTCTATTGAAGCTTCCTCTCTGGCAGACAGTCCTCTTCCCAATTTCTAGTCTAAAATAATATTCTTCATCTCTCTGCCAAATACAGTCCTTTCTAAATAGGAACATTTAGCATATTTCCCTTGATGTTCCCTTATGACATTGTAGACTCGCAACTTACTGTCCTTTGTTTGTAAGTGCTATTGAATGGGCGATACTAAGCAACCATCAGCTATCTGGGTGCAACACTTGTTTGCTTCGTATCCATGATACTATTTCAGATGCCAAGAAGTGTTTTAAGTTGAATGCCGATGTCTCATTGAAATGAACCTGATGGATGTAGGTTTCTAGATGTGCATTGCTTACAACAGGAAGACAGTTAATTTTTCAAATGCATCTATGTGTTTTTTTGTTTCTAGGTTTTATAAGGCTTTTGCAATGGAAGCAGGTTTTGGGGAGTTCCGTTTGTACCTGAGGCCCATGCACTTCGAATCTGCATCTCACAGGGAGAAAGCAGACCACCTCCCACTAATATTCATTACATCTCTCCTGGAAGATGACAGCTGTGTTGACAGGTAGACTGAACTTTTTTTGTGTTTCACAGAGCATAATCTCTTTAGATTGGATGGGATCAAGCCTTTAGTCTGCTTAGGCTCACATATAAGCCACAAAAACTTCAGTGTGTAAAATACATAAAATTATTCAGGCAGAAAATGTAAAATGCTGCATGACTTGTTTCCCTTTTGTATAGAGTCTGGGACTGAATAATGTTAATTTACAGCTGTTGAGCAGTGAAAGCGAGGATACTCCAAATTTCTGTGGAATGCTGGTAATTTTGGGACTACAGTGCATTTTCTTTCAAAGTGAGGGACGCCTAGCAAGGCTGGCCTGAAAGTCATTGCCCCAAACCCCAGAGGAAGCAAAACGAGACCTCAAAAACTGTGGTGAATTACGTCCTTATTCTGAGCACAAAGAAAGCTTGTTCTCCTGAAGTTATGCTGCACTTCATGAAGTGGCATCTTTGATCTTTGTTTATCAACTCAGTGACTACTAGACCCAATCTCTGCACAAGGAAAAGGCTATTTATTATCTTCCCTTTTCCCCTGGGGAAAGTGACTGGAACAAGCAGATTTTACATTTGCTTTGATTTACTCTTTAAAGAGTCGGTAGGCATGCGTGTGTACACACATACATAAATACACCGGTTTGTGTTTGTGTGTCTTTTAGGTCAAGGTTTATGAGGAAGAAAGGAAATAACCTGTGAATTCTCTTACTAGATTCAGGGAGAGCATCCTGTCAGTCGTTCCCTATGGCTAACAGGGGCGGTAGGGCTCCCTTCCGACCTGTACGTATACCACCTGCAGTCCCGTGCTGTGGTCTGCATCCTATTCACTTGCATACACTCTAGCCTGCTGTGAAAATTGGGCTGTTCCAAACACGTTTAGCAATTGTGAGCAACCTGGGATGAAACTTCAGCTGCTAATTGGATTGGGGCAGTGATGGACATCAGAGCCCAGAAGACAGTACAGCAGCACAAACAAACACTTTAGGAATTAACACTTCAAACAAGGCATGATTAAACTGAACAAGCAGATTTTTCACTGGTTTAGACCAAGCTCATCCAGGAGGAGTAAAGTCAACCACAAAACATCATGAGAATATATTCTTTTTCTCACAAAACTACTTCTGAAAACTCAAGCAATGTCCTAATAACATTAAATTAGGGACTAGAGTGACCAATTCCGTTAGGTGTTCTAAATTTTAAGGGGGGAAAAACTGAAAAGTATTTCTGAATTTATTACTATTTTCCTTTCATCCTCAGTTTGGCTTCTTTCTGTGTCCTACTCCATGTTTATAGATAATTTTGCTTTTATTGCAGATATATTCCATCTAGCTTACCATTAAGCATTCAAGAAATTGACAGTCATATTGGAAAGCTTAGTTTCCGTACAAGAGATGGTGTTATGCGGGTGAATGATTTAATTTGCAGAATAAGCAAAAAAAAGTGTATTACGTTATTATTTATTTGCTGGAGTATGTAAGGGCCTCAGTCATGTGTTTACTAGACACTACAAACTCCTCTACTGTTTGTCTTTCTCTGAGTGATAAAATGATTTAGTCTACTGTTTTATAATTAACTTCATAAAATTGCACTGAACATTTGATTGTTGATGTGGCCTAATCCAGGAATCCTTACTGGGATGAAACTAAGTCAGCAGAGTTTTGACTGAGGAACTTTGTTAAATAAAGCAGGACGCCTGTGTGTGGCTGTATGCACACACAGAAACAACATTTGGTGCAGAGAGTCATGTTTCAATGATAACAACGTATACAAATATAATAGAATGCTCTCCCTTATCCCTCCTTTCATTAAATTAAGCTGCTGAAGTACTACAAGACAGAGAGTAATGTCTGTAAAGTAACCTGTCTTTTAAATGGCAGAGGAAATGCCTAACACGTTATTTTCCTCTCCTTAGCTCTTGTGTCCCTCTGGAATAAGGAACACGCAACTTATCCTGGCCTGTCAGGTCATTCAGAAAAATGCTCTTTTGGTGGCTGTTCAGCAATCCTCCTTTTGTTACTTGGTCCAGCCTCCCCATGCCCCGGACATAAAGGTTAGCAGCATCTTCTTCCTCACGTTGCACTAGTAATAATGGGTTTTATCAGACTTAGCCCAAAGAGGTTATCTGTTAATTCTGCTTATAATCAATTGGATGGCAGTCCTGCGCAACACTTGGAACAGCATCACTGATGACTGCAGGAACTGCAGTGATTGTGTATTAGCATATGACATAAAAATAAATGGTGTCACATCAGTGATTTATTTAAAGTCTATTAGTTGGGTAAGTGATGAAGCATAGCTAAAAATACACCTCAAGAGAGGACTGAAAGAGGTTGGAGATGAATTGAATTCAAAAGGCACGGGTCAAATCTTATAGCCTGTGGTATGCAGTAAGGGTAGCAATCACAACCTGACCTTGAAATACACATTCTTCTGGGATGTTGAAACCATCAGTTCCTGCCGCTTTCATTTGTCCTGTCTTCTGAAAACAGAAGTATGGTCAACACTACTTGCAATGGGAAACATTCATGTCAGCCTGATGCCATAATGTTGGTTCAAAAGCTACCTGCCAGGATCACCGAGCCATTACTGTTCCTCATCTTATATTTGGCTTTTTTTTTTTCATCCTGTGTTAAATATATGGTGCTCAGGAGCTGCCCTTGCTTCATACATGCTAAATTGTTGTAGGGCTCTGTGTTCCATTTTCTTACACAGCTGCTGTGTCTTTTCCAGAGACAGCTGCATTACAGAGATGAGCTAAGTGACCTCGTACACAATTTTGAATTCATAAGCAAATAGAGATTCTTTAGGGCTTGTCTTGCCTTCTCTGTGCTTGTATTGACATCTCTTTCCATGTTCCTTAGGACACCCCATCCATCCCCTCTCAGCCCCCACTTGCATCCCTGATGGTCCCCATGCTCAGTCCCTTGCCGCCAGGCAGTATCCTCAGCTCATTCCTGTGTATGGAAGTGCCCGTGTTTTGCTGTCTAGCTGGGCAAGAAGCACTGTGTTTTGCGGCAGGTTCGTAGCTGTGCACATGCTGACTGCCTGGCTGTCATGCTGGGAGCCCAGCTGGTCGCTGCCCCCTGGGAGCTGAGCAAGCCAAGCAAAACGGCTAGGGATCAAGCTCTCCTTGCCTTTTTCCTGAGCAGGGGGTCCTCCTCACTAGCTGAATGTTGATTTTGCAAAACTGGGAGGAGCTTTATATCCTTGAGACCTCTGTTCTTATGTCAAATGTATTTAAAATTAGTCAGAGGGTTCAAAAGTCATCAGAGATGGGGAATGAGGCTAAAACATTTCTTGTGTGACACCAGTTTCTTTCTGAGTTTAAAAACGAAAAATAGACGTTATCATGACTCCCCATTGTCTCATTTTGGGTCACTCAGAGCTGCAGTGTGGGGAGGGAAAGATGTCTCATGCAGCTGTGACTTGCAAGCTTCTGAGCGTGAATTGCCGTTCCTAGAGCAGTGTCCTATACACTTTCTTTCCTTACACTGGAGGTGAATGTAACGGATGTCCTAGGGCCAACACTCACCCCAGAGACTGTAAGCTGCATCAGAACAAACTGGTTTCACCACTGCATGGTTTGCATCCTGTTCCAACACGAGCAGGACAGTGATTCTGCACCGTACAGCTGAGATCCATTGGCCCAAACAAACTGATGTTCTGACAGCCCACCAGAAAAAAGCTTAGTATCGTGCAGTCAGAGCTGCCTGCTTGCTGCTAAGCAGGAACCCTTTGCACCACTGATCTCATGCAACTTTTGGCAGCACACGGGCCATGTCCCAGGGAGCTGCTGCACTCTGCAGCCACTTGGTGGGGACCCAGGCGTTGGCAGCTGGATGGCCAGCTGTGCAGCCTCCCAGGGCTCGCCAGGGTCTAGTTCGTCCCAGAGGCTGGTTTCCATTCCCTCTCACTGAGAAATCTGAGATTCCCCATCTTCATTTCTAATCAGATCCTGCAGCACTGAAATCCTCAGTAGAACTGATCAACCTCGGTTTCTTTCCCAAATCAATCCTCTGCGCTGCCATACAAAGCACTAGTGTTGTGTGTCTCTGCTGATAACCATAAGTAATCTTACTCTGGAAATAGCTCTTCATTCCCCAGTTGAAAAGGATTGATCTTCCAAACATTTGGGGCTCTTTTACTGTCTAAATGTTGAATGGTTTCTTTTCCACAGAATGGCAGCGACTGTATTTTTCGTTTTCAGATGTCTGCTCTATAAATCATTTAATGGCTGCTGCAACCATTCTGGATCAGTTTTTGCTGATTTACAGTCAGTGGGTATTAGCTCACTAATCAAACTCACACACAGAGGACAATTAATACAACCAACAGAGGCAGTGATAGGGAGGTCATGCATCTATTATTCCAGATTAACATGTGAAACTAGAAAAAAACTTGTATAACCTCCTTACATAGGAAAGGGAGATGGTTGCAGGATGTCAAAGGCTGTGTCTGCACTGAGGGACCCGCCAGTGCCGTGGGCGGTATGGTTGCCCACCTGACACAGGCCAAGGCCCGTGGCGTCTCCCTTCAGCCCACGTGAAGGAGAGCTGGCTGGGTGATGCCAAGGGAGCTGTGTGCTCTGCCACACCCGCCATGGTCTGGTTGGTTGATAGCCAAGACCCATGGGCTGTGCCATGAAGGGCATAGGCTTAACCAGCCCAGTCTCACCGTGCAATAAGCCCTCATGCAGACCAGCCTGTTTGATACTGGTCTACGACCTTCAGAATGGCAAACTCCCACGTATTTGTAACCTCAGTGACCAACTTTTCTATACCGACTTTGTTTATAGGCTGAAATATTTCTCAGGAACGAAGACACTGCTCATGTCTGCCCATTTACTTCTAAGGCAGTTGCTGACCACCGTTTTTTTAATACATGTTTTATGTTCCTTGTGGTCAGTCAAGCAGGAAGAATTGTCCTCTGAGAAATAAGTCCATTTTCTACTACAGCAGAGCAAAGGTGTTCTTTGGTAGATCTGTCTGCAAGCTGGCACTAACCCAAGCCAAGCTAGTACTTAGTTAGGAGAAGGAACTCGACTCTCAAAACATGGCTTTTTTTTCCCATTTCGGTCTTTCCCTTTCCCGCTACACACAGAAGACAATAGCTCTCCTTGATTTACAGGGGAATTAGTGTGGCTTTTTAGCTCCCCTGGACTTCAAAGTGCCTGTGCCACTTTTGAAATACGACTTCAAGAACTTGGAAAAGTACCACTTGTTCCTACTTGAAAATTAGGATTATTTTTATATAAATATGCAGAAATTTCTGAGGGTCCTTCATACCAGGAGCCACTGGGACTTAAACAGGTGGTGTGGGGGGATGAGTGTAGTTTTTTGTGTTTGTGGGGAGGCAAACTGATTTTCCAGACAAGTGATCTAGATAAACAATCATTTGTACATATTTGCAAATGTGAATATCTGGGAATATTCATATGTTATTTACAGCTGATTGAATGTCAAGAATGTTGGCTGATTTATAAATCAGGTACAGCCTCTGAGTCTGCTGCTGCTTCATTATGCCTGTGCTCAATGAGAAATGTTTTTTTTCTGTGACTTGCAATGATCCCAGTGAATTATTATATCATAAAGCTAGGGTAAATGAAAGCAAACAGAATTGCAAATATGTATTGATTTAGTAGGAAGAGCTGCCAGTCTTTATGAGAGCAAGCACAGAATTGATATTCATGATATTTTAGGAAGGAAATGTAAGTCTAACAAGTCGGAGCAGTTCAGCAAGTGGAAGAAATTCAGTGTCTGGGAGTGAAACAGAGGATCAGCTGCTGCAAGCAACCACACCGGCCACTTCATTTTCTCCTGGGTGTTCTCCAGGTTTACTCTGTACCATTAAAAGGTATTTGTTACAGACTGGCCAAGCCCCCTCCACTGGGTAGGGATCACTCTGGCGCACGTGCGAATCCTGAGCATGGCCTGCTTTACATTGCGCTGGACCTCCGCCATGAAGAAACATAGCGATGGGCTCTCGATGGTAAGGGCACGTTCCCAGATGCCTTGTTTCTTGATGTGAATTGGTGGTCTGAGTATTATGGTTGTCTTGCCATACCCTGTCGATGGGACTCTGGCTTCACATCAAACCCCACGGAGATAACCTGTTAATTAAAGGAGGAAATCCAGATACCTCATAGGAATTTCTAAGCATCAGGGAGTTTACAGTTGAAAACATTGCAAAATTATGACAAATAATAAGTGGGCCGGGATAAGGCCATTAATTATGACTTTGCTCCTCCTGTAGAACAGAGCTTGGTCTCGGTGGTTGTATGCCCACTTACTAGCTCCTTGGCCCGATTTCCTGGCTTTTACATGGGGCACAGTGTACTAACAGGGTACTGGCAAGACACAGTTAGAGCAATTTTTTATATTGTTCAGTGCTGATCAGCTAAAAGTCGAGCACTGAAAACTCTGTGCTAATTGAATAACTTGTGGTTTGAAGGTAGAATTAAAAAGGCATTCAACATGTCCAGCTTAGCCCAGGTAGCCTCACGGTTCTTGTTACTACCTTAATGCCAGTATGAGGAGGTACATTTTTTTCTTCAATTTGTCACTATTTCTTTCACCATTTATTTCACTTGCATTTGAAATTAAAATTATGCAGAGTGGGAGACTTTCCCCAGAGCTCATCTCATCTCTGGTAGCTGATCCACAAGATCCAGTGTATTTGTACCTGTTATATATAATGAATGAGTAAAATGAACGTTGTTGAAGAAGCTGTGTCTAATCTAAAGAAGTTATTTGATCAGAAGGAGGTTATCCGTTTACCTTTTGAGAGATGACTCTTCTCAGCTCACATGCTTTTTTCTCCTTCATTAGGCCTCCAGAAGCTTTCATTTCCATTCAGCTGGAGAAACGGGGACCCTGAGATAGGATGCTGAACACCTTCACTCAAAAGAGAGAAGCACTGGGCAGCAGGCTGCAAAACCCTATAAGTATGTCAGGACGCTCCTCAGCGTTTTTGAGAGGGACTGTTGGGTTTTGGTACGTAGGCAAAGTGGTAGCTTTGAGTTAGCGTTACACTTACTCTGTGGTTACTTTAGGGAGAAAGGTAAGCCAGTGGCAGGTGTGGAAA